TTAACCTTCCCTTTTTAAGTGACTCTAGGAAACAATGTTTTGGCAGAACTTCAGTCTCATATTCTGCAGAATAAACACTTATCTCTTAGAGCGGACATGGACCAGTCTAAATACTGGCAGGGTGAGATTTCTACAACAAGTTCAGGACAAGCCTAATTTAAAGAGGCAATAAACCAGCTGAAAGCCCAGCCAGCAATGCACACTGAGGGCCAATACACACTTTAAACCCACAACAACAGTGGGGGCTTGTTTCTTCACACACAATCATCCCATTTTTCTCCCACCAAGTTTAGATTGCATAACACAATCCTCCCTCTTTGTCTTGAACCCAAACACGCAGTCGCATACAAACACGCAGCACATAAAATCTGTCCACTCGTTTGCATGTTTCTGCAGCATAATGAATGAGCTGCATTTGTGTCTCTAAGCTCTCAAACACACCATTGTGCTGCAGCCACATCCAGATCAGTGTTAAAGATCACGCAAAGACACACACAGACACTGCAGGGACTGTAGTCTCACCGCTGGCTCTGCGAGGGGAAGCGGGCGCTGCCGGTTTGACCGTGGAACGGCTACTTCCTCCTTTAGCTGGCATGTAGGAAAAACATAAAAAAATTAGTTAATATATATAATTAAAGCTCTTTTTTCCAACTTTTTTCTTATTTTTGGTGATATTTTAACTGTGTGACATTTAAATGTTTAAGAGCAAATGAAAGTCAGAATTCAGAAAATCTATGGAGCGAATTTAGCTCCATTATTTGCAAAGAAAATGTGAAAATGACGATTCAGTTTTTATTTCTAAACTTTTTTTAATAGATTTTTTCACATTTTATTTATTCACTTGAATTTTAAGTTTTTTTAAAGGTGTTTGTTTTCATTTCAGTTTCATAAATTGAATTAACTTCTGTGAACGGGGGGGCTTTCCTGTGGACGGAGCAAACACGCTTTTCTATTGGTCAGCTGGACGCTAGCAACAACATTTCTATTGGTCAATCGTGTGGGATTGTTTATTTGCTTTAAAGCGAAGAGAATGGGATCTGCAAAAGGTAATTTGAAAAGAATGTAACTCGTAAAACTTAATAAAAAAAATAGAAAAACTTTTATGTGAATAAATAAAATGTCAAAAACCAATAACAAAATAAAAATCTAAAAATGAAATCTGGAAAATTAGAAATTTGAAAAAGAAAAACATTTGTTGAAAATAAAATGATATAAAATTTCACATCTCTCTGCAGCAGGAAGACAGTCTATGAAATCAGCAGCTCCCCAGTTTAGCGTCGTCCTCCACCTGCGCTCAGGCTGCAGACAAACCAGTTCTCTACCGGCCGATGGGCAGCAGCAGCAGCAGCAGCAGCAGTTTACTTTCCTTTCATCCCTGCTCTGTTATATGTGCACCATAGCATCATGTTACAGACATGCATGAGATAAAACGCTTTGCTGTCTGCAGAGAAGAACCTGATCTACATGTGCTGCTACAACAGCAAGTCGAATTATGACACGTTGTAAATGAGGATATCTGAACTAATATTTAAAAGCTGAGCATATGCAGACTGGTTATGTCATGCAGCCAACTTCTGTTGTGCAACAGAAAAAGAAAGAGCACTCACGATTGCTAAAGGATTTGCAGTGATGATGAAAGAAAGGAGGACCTAAGAAAAGTTTTCCATCTGCATGTTTTTTTTTTTTAAACAAAAATGAGTAAAGCTGCTTTCTGTATAACATCTATTTGATACATCAACCTCTGTTTATCCACACAGGTTCAGTTGGCTGCATTCAGCCATGCAAATACTCCTCCTGAATGAACCTTCTATTATCCGTTCTTCAGGGAAGTTTTTCCTTGTTTGGACCAAAAACAGGAAAAACAAAAACAACATTGTGAAAAAAACGAGCCAGAAATAAACTGTTTCCTGCAGGTTAAGGGTGGGCACATCCAGTCATTCCTCCATACAACATGAATACATTTAACAATTTATGACGGTCAGTTAAAAATAATTAAATAATCAGTCATTTTTTCCCCAACTTGTTTTAATTGTTTTGTTTTTAAACCATCTTATTAGCCTGGTGTGTGATGAGAACTTTATTGCTGCTGTGGTTTTTTTAATAAGCTTTATCAGGGGGAGTGGTGGCTTAGTGGTTAGAGCTTGGAATCCTGAGGTTGGGAGTTTGAAACCCACTCCCACAGACTGCCACTCTGGGTCTCTGAGCAAGACCACGTAACCCCCGGTGCCCCACAATGGCAGCCGACTCCTCCCCAAGCAGGTGGGTTAAATGCAGAGGTAGGGGAGTGGTGGACTAGTGTTTAGGGCATTGAGCTTGGAATCCAGAGGTTCTGAGTTCAAGCTCCACTGGGTACATGAGCAAAGATCCTGTTGTCGGAAAATTTAGATTTCTCTTATTTCATATATTAATTCATCCCATTTACTCACTATAAAAGTTTTAACTAAATCCGTTTCACCTGCAAGGCCACACAGTTCTCCTTGTGCGAGGATGTTTGTAGACAAGCAAAGCTTCTTCTCAAAACAAGCCAGATTCTTTCTTAAGGTTTATTCATAACATTTTACTGTTTAACCAAAGTGTCTGTAATTTGTTTTGACTCTGACTACTTTCTATTGTTGTAAGTAAAGGGGAACGAACGCTGCTCAGGCAGAACAGGGCTGAATACTGTGCCATAAGGGCCGTATGATAAACTGTTCTCTCTTTGCAAATATAAGATATGAATAAATGTGCTGATTGAGTGAAATCCGTCGATCTCTGTTTATTTAACTGGTGTGAGCAGCTGAATACTTTTTTTTCCCCACTACAATTCTTAACCCCACACTGCTCCCTGGCACAATGGCAGCCCACTGCATCCTCAAGGGGATGGGTTAAATGCATAAAGTTCATTTCATTGCTCTGTACTTGTGACAGTGTAAAAAATAAAATAAAACACTGGAAATTATAAATTAAAATGAGTCAAAAATAACAGAAAATCTACAAAAAAAAAAAAGAAATCTAAACATTCAGTTTTTGGATTCCTCACTGAGAAGCTGATGTGTTTCTATTCATTAGGATATTTCATTCAAACAAAGATGCTCTGGCTGTTTACTTGCTCTATTATGTAACCATGACAGTGACAGATGCCATGATGACTCCACCTGTTTGTGGCCATATTTACACCTGATCAGAGTAAAGTGCTGACTGCTCACCTGTTAATCTGTTTGTGTCTATGAGCATCAGTATACTGTTGCTACCATGGAACCAGTAGCTGACACTTTTAAGTCAAGTTTTAAGTGATTATTGAAATTATTTTTGATACTTGTTCAGTTTCCAAGGATTGTTTATTTATACCTGTAGGTAGATTTTTTCTGAAGTGATTGAAGACAGACACTAAAAAATATTAAGGCTACATAAACAAAATCACAGCACGACACAGAAGAGGAGATGGGAGTTAAAAATCAAGACTGAAAATAAAAAAGGAATAAAAAAACAAATGTTTTCACAAAAGGCTTCTGTTGTGCTCAAATCTGATTAAATATCTAGTTTAGGATGAAAACTAGACCTAAGCTGTTGATTCCAGATTTATCATTCAAGTCTTTCCTTCATTATAATTTGATCCTTTTATATTTTTAGCTTCCACAGTTGAGGAAAAGCATCAAATATCATTCTACTTCAGAGTTAAACAGAGATCATCATAACGACTGCTTCTGAAGGTGCAGCCCAGTCAAAAACTTCACTTCTTTATCAGCAGCTGCTGCTCTTCTAGCCTATCTGGTTGTTAGGCAGCGTAAACAGGAAGCGGGACATTTCCCTCTTGCAAATATTTGGGAAATAACCAGAGTCCTTTGCAAATATCTGCTAACAGAAACAGGGATCTTAACAAGTGTGTGTGCATCAAAGCTCCAAATTTGAGAGTTAAATCAGCATAACCATTCGCATGATACGCAGAATTTGGATCGCACAAAATGTGTCCTTTGCATCTTTGATCCCTTAGTCAAAAGAATTAGATTTATATTGCTATTTTCTATTACAAAACAAAAATTCGTTTAGAACAGCTCTCTAGACAATAAAATTTTTTAAGTGCAGCTTTGATAAGGTAAGCATCAGTTGTTGTTGAGCTGCTACTACCTCCTCCAGCTCCTGAAGCACTCGCTTCTCCTGGCTCAGGGGAGGAAGAGGACGATGATGATGAAGCTGTGAGGGTGGTCGCCCCCTGGGTTGAATAGGCAGACGTGGTTGAAGCAGCAGTGGTGCCATTCGGCAGGTTTAGCAACGACAGACGACGCTGGAGAAGGTGTGGAAGCCGGAGGGGGGCGGGAGGAGCCGGCTGGGGATGTTTCAGCATTTGGCAGGGAAGCATCTAGAGTGCTTTCCACATTTTCACCTGCAGAGGGCTGTGCTTCTTTCTGGATGCCGAAGACTGCCTGGGAACAGTCTCAGAGGAGCCTCCATTCCTGCAGACCTCTTTGTTTCTATCGGTGCGGTACGGCATCAGCTCCCCCAGCCCAACAACACCGTCCGGTACTGCTGGACGCAGCCAAGACCAAGTCAGAATGATGGCGCAGCAGTTACATATCTCCTTTTTTGAAGAGAGTTCGAGTCGAAGATTATCCATTTTGTTTTCCAGCGAGCTGATGTTGGAGGGCAGGATTGATGGAAGCGGCGGTCTGTGGGGAATTTCTCTTTAGCTTTGCAGTTAGCTCCCCTCCACAGCCCCGCTTTCCCCTCTCTCGCGCATCTCTTCCTCCGTCCGTTATTTTCCGCTGTTGTCCTCCTGACATCCGTCCGTAGCACGTCACAGCTTTTTAAATCGTCAAAAATGTCAGTATTTGAAACATTTTGGTACCGTAGCTCCAGCAGGCGTTGGCGATAATAGACGCGGGTTTTTATGTTTAGTTTGTATCGTTTTAAGCAGCATATTTTGTGAAATTGTCGAGAGGAGCTGCTCTTGGCCGCTGCCTTGGAGCGCTGCAATGGTAACCGAAGCGTCGCCAAGGTAACCAAAGATGCGAACACGCCTTTTCCTATGTAGGACATGGAAATCACCTGATTCTGAGGCCGCATTCGTGTTCAATTTGAATGAACCGTGACGACAACGTAAATATGGAGAGTGAGCGAACTCAAGCAGCATCAAAAGACTCAAGATACCGACAGGAGAAGCAGACTTGTTGCTTTAAAGTTATAACCGGAGGGTTTTTTGAGTTTATTTTTATAATGTTTTTAATCAAAAAATAATTTGATTGTTTTAATTTTAATCTGACTTTATTGGAAGTCTAAACAACTTAAAATCGTCTTCAGAACGCAAAACAAAATGTTCTTGGAAGGTAAAGATTAATCTATGATGAAAAACTGCAGATAAAGATTAAGCAGATGCCTAAAAACAGTCGGTAAGTGTAAAATGTTACCTGTTTGGGTCACAGCTTCACCTCCGACCTCTTCAGAGCTCTTTTCCTGCTGTGAGGCTCCCAGGCTGGCTCTGGGGGCCACCGGGGGCCTGCGTGGCGCCCTGGGATTCGGTGGGGAGGAACCGGCGCTGATGGTGTGCGTTAGTTTGGGCGGAGGTGGCCGTGGGGCGGGGACAGGCGTCCCTGATGGGAGAGGGTCTGTAACATTCTGTGGTTTGGCTGTGATGGAGGGCTTCAGTTCTGATCCCAGATCAGACTGTGTGGTTCTGGTTGATGACGGTTCTGCAGTAGTTTGGGTCTCAGGGTGAGATTCCACAGGGCAGACTTCAGGTGTTCCTGGCTTTCCCGATTCCCCTGCAGCTCCTCCATCTTCCCAGAATGCCCTGCTGGAGGGTTTGGGAGCAGCTGGAAGGTTTTTGGGTTTTGGAGCGATGGCAGGTGGGATTGATTTGGCCTGTTGCCCCAGGAGACGAGGCCGTGGGCGAGGCTCGGGTCTTGTAGCGACTGAACCCTCAGTAGTCACCGTATGGACACCTGCAGTGTCTCCACAGCCCCCATCGGCCACTTGCTGCTCGAACGCCTGAATCCTCGCTCTCAGAGTCGCCATGTCCTCGCCGTCCTCCTCCCCGCTCTCTGATTGGCTGTCCTCGCTGTGGGGGTCAGGGAATCCCCAGTCGTCTGAGCTGAACGCCTCCAGCAGCTCCTGCAGATACGGCCCCTGGTTCCCCTCTGGGTTTGTGCGTCCGCCGGCTGCCCGGGCCGCTAAGGTGGCCAAACCGTCCTCACGCAGTTTAACCAAAGTCTGGACTTTAACCTCGTTGGCCGGCTGGCGACCTAGCCTAGTACGAGGGCGTGGCCTGGGGCGCTCCAATGGGACATGTGTGGATGCGTCAGGAGGAGGAGCCAGTTCCTCAGCAGGTAAACTCTGGTCCCACTGGTGGGTTTGACCCCCACAGGTCAGTAGTGAAGATAAATGCTGCTCACTGAGGGAGGCGGAGCATTGTGTGTGTGTGGAGGAGTGTGTTACAGGCAGAGGATGTGTGTTTGAGGTGACGCTGTTTGTCTCAGAGGAGCTAACAGCTGATTGGCTGGAGGTGATGTTGAGGTCATCTGTATCCGATGATCTGATGGTGCAGGGGGGAGGAGGGCGGGGCGGTCTCCCTGATCTTCTTTCTACGAGCAGGAACAGATTTCGCTTTTATTACACAAAAACAAACCTATAAGAGCGACAATCAGCTTTCTAGTTTACCGCGAGGATTGGGAGCAGGTCCTGGATCGGTCTGTGTGGCGATGGTCGTTCTAGAAACAGGCGGTGAGTTGGAGGCAGGAGGAAGGAGAACCTGCTCCTGTGTTTTCTCTCTTATCACCTCCTCGTAGGAAGGAGGAGGCTAAGGAAGGAAGGAAGGAAGGAAACGACGGTAAGAAACGAGCAAAAGGAAACTTTAAGATGAGGTTTTCCAAGCAGGTGGAACACAGAACTGATAGAGTTTAAATTCACTAGCAGGTCACAGTTAGATGGTTTCATCTTGATTGGAGGTGAAGGTTTTCGTGTCCAATCAAAGGAGTCTGACCTGAAGAACCGGAGCGATAGTGGGTCCCCAGATCTGCGCCGGTGGAGGAGGAGGAGGAGGGATTCCTCCAACAGCTCCTGAGAACCAGGATGTAGAGGGAAGTGGCTCCGCAGCCAAGATGGTGATCTCTGGTCGCCTAGCAACCAACAAGCAACAGGAAGTCATATCGAAGATGTTCAAATCAAAGCGTTAGTTTGTAAACTAATCAAACTAAAGCATTAAGGAATTTCTCTCTGTTGTTTTAAGATTTAAAATATAAAAACAAAAATGTACATTTTTTTTTTACAAATGTATGGAAGAAATTAAACAATTCATCATTTCAGGTTCTGCTTAAAACAAAGTTAATAAAAAACCTGTTCTGTTCTTGTTTGATGATTCTAAAATGCTATCATCAGAATTTGTTCCCTATAAACTTCCCTAAAACTGAAAAACTTCTGCACCTCAAATGTAATTTCTTTTCAGGCTCAATGAAATCCTAAAAGGAGGTTCTAGATGAAGCAGCTGAATTAATCCTAAATTCAAAAGCTGCTTATAGAAGTAGTTGAATGAGTGAAAATGGGGACAGTTACAGATAAACTCAACATCTAAAACAAGAAAGAATAATTAATGATTGATAAACGTTTGAGTTTTAAATGCTGCTGCACATCAGCTTCAACGCATTTCCTTTAGCTGAGCTATAATTAATCATTGATGGTTTTACCTCCTGTCTCTTTCTCTGTCTCTGGGCGTCTCTAAGACAGAGGTGGACCTTGATGCTGATGGGAAAGATGGTAAAAAAACAAAAAGTACCAATTAGATTAGATCAACAGATTAAACACAGACATAATTGCCTTCTGGATTTCTGAATGATGAAATCATTTTTGGGTTATCAGTAGATTAATCTGCATAATATGATGGTAAAAACCAGTAGAATGCTTCAAAGAAGGACCAATGTCAGTTTAACATCATGCAAAACTTTAAAATAGCAAAGAAATGCTTTAAAATCTAAATCAGATCTAAATAAACCGAACCAGGGTTGGTTTAGATGTTTTAAACTGGTTCATACTCTAAGTAGGTCTGCTAATAAATTTTTTCTTCTTTTTTTTCCAAAGCTACTGAAGATCTTTGTTTGTCTCCATCCAGATAGGAGGAGGTGAAGCTTTGCCAGAAACCTTTGGAGACAAACTTTATGCGTTTAAATCGTTTACTTGAAGTTTGAGATGATTTAACATAATGGAGTCTTATCTTCTTCTATTAGCTCTCTGCTAATAAATCGGATTCAAACAGCTGCTTTTTAGACTCTGCTACAGTAACAGAACATAAAGGCAGATGTCTGGCATTGTGGAAAAGATCAAGTTTTTAAACTTTGACCTGAAACTCCAAATAACAGCTTTAACTTTGCAGAAGGAAACATGTGGAGCATCTAAGATATTAAAAACCATCTTTCAGAGCCGCACAATGGGAATCTAAAGGTAAACCAAATGTAGAAAGGGTTTATATTTTAGAGCGGGACAAATCAAAATTAGGTAAAACCAGCTTTTATTACAAAAAAAGGGTTAAAATTGGGTAAAAACTTCCAGACTTAGTTAGAATATATTTAAACAAACCTGAGCTCAGTTTAAACAGAATGTTAGTTTTAGTTTTAAATCTTTGCTGTAGAGTTTTAACAGCAGCTTAACTTAGTTTCTAAGGTGTTAATTAACAGCAGGTAATGATGCATCGGTAAACTGCCCCAAAATCAGCTCTGATCAAAACTCCTCCTTTAGGAAATGCACCAGAAAAAATACAACTAGGGTTGGGAATTAATAAGATTTTCACGATTTCAATTCCCTTATCGATTCTGTGAAACTATTCGATTCCTTATCAATTCTCTGGACAATAACTTGATAAGTGCGTGGTGACATTTGTCTACCTTCGCCTGAGACATTCTATTTCTGCCTGCCTCAGTGAAAACAGAAGGCAGTGACCGGCAGCTGCCAGCCTCTGAGCCAGCCAGGCTACCCGTCTCGTCACAGTCATCTATATTTAATGGAGAAGGCATCCGTTTAATGAAAAAGCATTACTGTACAATTTCAGGAAATAAACTAATCTCCCCTTGATTTAAATGAACGAGCCTCACCTTTCTCTCGCTCTTTGAACTGCAGAGCAACTTCGTAGCATGTTTAACAACCCCAAAGAGACGTAGGAAATTGGTTTATTTCCAGAAATGGCATATGACTTACTATGAACCTCATTAAGCACAGCCAGTGATATAAAACGAACTACTTGCACAAGAGTTGCCTTCCATGCTGGTCGTAACTTTAGCTTCTGTCCGGAAGCATCAAAAACACGCCATTTGTTAAAATGTATGACATTTTAACGGATGGCATACATTTTAACACTGACATTCGTTAAATTTATGCCAGGTGTTTTTGCATGTATTTCGTCCCACGGATGTAATTGCCACTTTGCAATGATTGCAAAGCGCCTTGTTGCCACATTTCTCTTCCTTAAAATGAAGCCAGACTGTCGATCACTTTGACCGCTTCTGTTTTGCTGTTCTAGACTACCTGGTCACGTCGTACTTGCTTACTGAATGCTGTGTATGTAACTTGCATAAAATATGTGACATAAATCGCGCTGCCCAGAGCGCTAGGCTCTGGTGCTGCCTGCGACCTTTAAGAGAATCATTAAGCGAGCTGCTAAACGGTGCTGTGGCATTGGAACAGACGGAACCGGTTTTCGATTCCCATCCCTAGGTTTAACAGAACAATATATGAGGGCTTAGATAAATTCATGAGTTTTAAAAAGCTCAGATTTGATGCCTAAAAAGGAGAATTCTGCAAGTCATTCAGCCTCTAAATTATGGACTGAAACTAGAAATCTGTATCATCCCAAAAACCAAGAACAAATCAGTGCTTTTAATCCAAGTCAAACTTGAATTTGTACTGATGCTTGTAGTCACAATTTATTATAATCTATACTCTTTATAGATCATGAAAAAAACATTTTACTTACTTCTCTTGATGACGGCTCTGATGGAGGAGAGAGGACCCTGGCTGCAGAGAGAGAAGAACATCATTATTTCACCTCTGCAATTACCATTTTCTCTCTTTCAGCTTTTAAATCACTTTCCATGCTTTTCAGCAGCAAATTATACTGGTATAAAATTTAACAGTATTGTTATTTTATGAATTAAAAAAAATAATAGTAATAATCTTGTATTTTTTTTTATTTATTTATTTATTTATTTTTTACAAAAATCACGTCTGGGTCTACCTTAATTCTCGAATACAATTTCAACAAGTTGATATTAAACAATTAATAATGAAGTAGTAATGCAATATAACAACAAATACTGAACGTAACTATAAAAAGAATTTTAAAAAAAGGAAAATATTTTTTCCCCAAAATCAAAAGCATGTTTGGTCGGGTTAGTGTCACCCTTCATCTGGTTTGTTGCCTAACAACAACTTTTAGCTTAGCTCTAATGTTAAAGGGGAGCTCAGGCTGCCATAAAGCACAGCTCTGGGTCACATGACTCATTTACCCCATTCACACTACCCTTGAAAAACCGAGACCGAGCTCTGATCAGTTAACCAGGCCGAGCTAGTGACGATCTGCGGTATTACTGCCAGTATTGAAGGAGGAAATCAAGCAGTTGGTGGCGGTAATGCACCAAAAGTTGTTTGCCAACGTCCATAAAACACAAGAAGAAGAAGGCGAAAAAGGAGGGAATCAAGCAAATCAAAATGGCGGCGCCCATCACTTTCAGAAAG